GACTTCCTCTCATCCCATCTGCCTCCTTGCGTTGGATCTGTTGTGGAAGCCCCAACAGTCGCTAGGGTAGCTAGTTGCAGAAAGCAATCCTTTTTGCAGCCACTGTGAATTTGGCTATTAATCCCCTTTCACACTTTGTTTTTTTTTTAATTAACATTGTGTTATCACATGAAAGATGTGGTGTTGTGTTTATTTTGTTGTTGTTGTTTTGCTTTTATTTTATTTTTAGAAGAATTTTTTAAAAAGCTTTTATGTCTGGATGACTGCATTGTTACAGTGTTATATACATCCTGTCTTTTAAAAGCAGACCAGTAGTGAATGATAACATCATGCCAGGCTCCATTTGCTAGTTAGCCAACTTATGTGTATTTCCCCTTAAGATTTTGGAATCCTTTTGTAACAGGCTTCTAAAAACTTAGCTTGCACTTTTTGCTATTTTGCTACTTAAAAAGAAAGGCAGAAAAGGATTTTCATCTTACAGATTTAAAATATGATATTTTCAGAATTTCTAGGGGGCTAATTGATTTTTAAATCTCTTTTTTAAGAGATTGTATAATGTTAATTCATAAAATTGCATTCAAAACATCAGTGAGTATAGTGGAGGAGTATGCAGTACAACTTCTCTTTCCAGAATTATGGTCCTTCACTGAAGTACAACTTGAGAAAAGAAAATAAAGAAAATTGAAGTTATTTCCTTTTCTGTGACACAGCCTTTCTTGATTCTTGGTTTGTTTTTGTTTAACTAGATCTTATATTATGCCCTCTTAGGCCTCAAGTCTCAAGTGTGAACAAGAAGGAATAAATTATGGTCATCACAGGATTAAAAAAAAAAAAGAAAAAAGAAAAAAAAAAAAAGACCCTAATTCCAACCCTTTGTGCCTCTTTCAAACATCTTAAAGCATCTTAAAGAAGCAAAGTAGGGCACAAGCCCAATATTTTTTTTGCTTTTCAGGTCTCCTTTAAGAGCAGAGACAGCCATGATCCAGCAGTTTTGGAGGTAGAGGCAAGTAAATGTTTTACTTCTTGTAAACATTGCAGTAAGTTTTTGTGAGTCATCTACAATTTGAGGAGACCCTGGTTGAAAAAGAACCTCAACCCTCCCTTCCCAAACAGTGTATTTCCTTTGTATGTGAAGAAAAATACATTTAGGCTTTTACTGTGACTGGCTGCACATTGTGCAATATCTACTTGGTATAAAAATAGGTAGGCTTGTTATTAGTAAGGGGTTTTGATAACACTTGTTAAAAGTTCTCTCATTGAAACTTATCTTCAAAGTGTAAATTATTTTGAGTGAATCATCATACTGATTTCCTTTAAAAAAAAAAATCAGTGGCTAGTATTTCCTACCTCCAGCTGCTAGTGTTTCAAATCAGTTCTTCATCACTGCCGCTTTGAGGAATTCAACAACCTCTTATGTATTGGATCTAAACCTGTAATTATTCCTATGCTGGGAACATTCCTGAGAGCTCATGTTTAGTGACCTCACTCCTAAAGACACCACTTGAGTTCTTAAAAAAAAAAAAAAAAAGGCAGTTGTTTGGCTCTTTTCTGAGGGCTGTATTAAGAGATGCAGGAAGGAGCTCTACATCTGTATTGTTGAAGTCTTAAAAATCAGTGAGCCGCTGAGTGCTCCTGCTCCTCAGGGAATTTGACTCCTTGAAGTATTTTGGACTGCGATTCCAGGACTGTTCTCAAGACAATTCTGGTCAATGCTGCTGGTGCTGAGTAGGGCTAGGCCAGGGCGCCGGCCATGGCTAGGCCCGTGCTTGGCTAGGCCGGTGCTTGGCTAGGCATGCTTTCCTCCTGTCCTCTGGCAAGTGACTGGTGGTTTGAATGTCCTTGTGAAAGGCCTTGGTGACTTGTGTGACATTCATGAGCTGCTTCAGGTGCTAAACCAGCAGAAAACTAAAGCTAGAACCTTTCTCTACTGTTCTTGAGTACCGTGAAGTGGGTAAATCAAGGTGGTACCACTAGCCCGTACTCTAGAAGGACTTAAACTGCTGTGGATCTACTGGCTGTAGGCAAAATGCAGTGGTTATTCTTGAATTGGTTCAGCTGGGTGGCTATGGATTATGGATATGCTCGGGATATGATGCTGCTTACATCTTTGGACAGTAAATTCAGTGGGTTCCCCAGCTCACTTAATAAACACATAAAATGTGGAATGTACAGGCTTGAAATAAGTGCTTGCTCCACCACTAAAACTTTCTGCTGTGTTTAATTTTCTTTTTTAAAGATACAAACATTTGAAAGAAAGCAGATTTTTTTCTGATTTCTTCTGATTTGTAGCAGACCACAAATGCTATAAGATGGATGCTAATTGAGAAGTGGAAAGCGGAGTGGTAAAAATATGGATTTGGGGCTTAGTTCTGTGAAATATCAGAGATGATTTATGGGATGAGCTAGAATTTGTTAATATTTTGGGCCTCTTTCTTCTATTTGGAAGTAATTAAGTCAATTTGTAGCATATTTGGATGAATTCAGATGGCTGCAATGTACTGTGAAGATGAAAATGTACCAGCTAGTACTTAAAGGATGTTTTTTGTTGGCTGTATACAATTGTAACATGGAGAATATTAATGACCAATAACATGCTAATGTTCTTAATGATCATCCCCTTTCCTTGAGTGCTTTGCAAAGAACTTTCTTGAAACCTATCTAGTTAGGAAACTGGTTGTTTTTTCATCTCCCCTTTCCTACTTGCTAATAAGAATGTAAAATGTTACATTTTATAGTTTGAAACAGTATGTAGGTCCTGATCTTGAAGGATGCACACCTAGACATTTTATCCTAAGGGCAAGTGTATATGTATACCCTAAAAATGTTAGTGTATATTTGACTTTGAACTTAAATTATGAGTTGTTTTTACTTTTTCTTATGTTCATGCAATAAATATTGATACTATTTCATTTTATTTTCAAGTTAAAAAATTAGTAGTCTGAAATAATTTGTCATCATTTATTCCATTATGGAAATGTCATATCAATAATACCCACTTTGTAATTTTTACCTATGGAATATTTCCATAAGGTTTTTATTTTAAAAGACTTGCACAATACTAAACAAAGGGCTAATAATACTTTGTAGTTTTTCTAAACAAACTGCAAATTATGTGATCTTTGTCTCAGTAAGCATAGAAAACAAACAGAAAATTTCAGAACTTAGGGACAGATTCACTGGTGGGCCAGAATAATGGAAAGAGCTAGGGAGCACTGACAGGCTATAATATTATTGTTCCTTTAAATCACTAGCATAATATTACTGACAGGAACCATGAGCTGACTTACTGGTTTACACTGTTTTGCTACTGGACTGGTTTTACCAGAGAGGTACGTGGGACTAAAATCCTCAAGACAGATCATCTCTTTGCCATGACAGAGCTTTCTCTGGTATGTTGGGAGCATTTTAAGCCCAAGGCCAAGCTGACATTTAGCTGAGGTCTTTACCAGCATGACTGCCACTGCATTTTCATCTGGATTTGAGAAAGCGTGACACGTGTGATACCCCTCATCTGACCCCTCAGTCATGATCAATAAAGCTAGAGCATGAAATTGTGTACACTGTATCACTCCTCCTTTACAGCGTGTGATACCCCTCATCTGACCCCTCAGACGTGATCAATAATGCTAGAGCATGAAATTGGCTGTAAAGGAGGAGTGGTACAGTGTACACAATTTGAGGTGTCTAGGTGCTAATGTGCATGCTGAATCCTGTACAATTATAGCAAGAATTAAAGGCAGCAGTTTTCGTAAGACAGTATTGTGACAGACTGTGTATATGTTTCAGTTGTAAGTGTATGGCGAGTTTGTGTGTGTTTGTGTGCAGAGATTATTTTGAGACTATTCTGAATTCTCCAAAGCACTTGGTTTTAATGTGATTCGTTAGTTACCATTGCTGTTAGTTCTGTGCTCAAGTAACAAATCCAGGCAGTGTTTTCTGTATTCTCTGGAATAAGTTAATTTTTGTGGACTGAGCTCCCTGCGGAGTTGCCTCCGGTCACATCACTTGCTAAACCAAAATGCAAGGCTCTTTTTTATTTTTTTATTTTATTTTATTTTCTTAAACTTGCAAATGATAAACTTACTACTGTATAAGAAATCACTGTGTGAAGAAATGAGAGAGTGCGGATAGCCAGAAGTTAGAATTAACACTCCATTTACTAGAAAGCACTTGTAAGCGATTAGAAAAGAGTTATTTTCTAAAAAGGTGTTACATTATAGGGTAGCTATTAATGCTGCCAGAGTGTAAGAAAAGAGGGACCACAAAACCCAACTGATGTCCTCAGTGAAGTTAACCTTTTTATTTTTTATTTTTTTTTAAAGAAGAATGTGGAGGTTCTAAATGTAAATTAGAAGATGCCATAATTAAGGCTGCTGGTGATGAGGAACATTTGTATAAATGTAATTTTCTGTGGAGCTTATCACTATGCTATGGGTGGCTAATTTCATTTTCTTTGAGACACCCTTATTTAAATAAATGGGGTGTATGGTGGGCTCCTTTCCCAAATGAGCAACTGAAGTTCAACAGTTGGAGCTGAAAATGTTGATTGCCTAACTTGAGGTGGCTGGGAGCAGAGCTCTCAGAATACTTAACATTTATAAAACAGTTTATATATTACTGAAGTTTTGACTTCTGGGATACTGATAAGGTGCAACGTGTCTGCAGAGGTGGCCCTGGAGATGCAGTGAGGCAAGGATGGGGGGGCTTGCGCACGCCTTGCGCTGCTGCTGCTGTGCAGGAGGGCAGCAGGGCCGGCCCTGCCACCCGCTGGGGACCGGCCTCGTGGCTGCTGCCTTGCAGGAGATGGGTGTTCCTGCGCCCTGCTTTGTGCTTAGTCTGCTCCTCTGAGACGTGTCACGGAGCCCGTCCAGCGCGCTGAGCAGCCTGGAAGGGAGTCTGACAGCAGAAGCCGTCAGCTCTGTTGAACTGGTTCCGGGAAGGGTGTAGTCAGAGCTGCAGCTGGTGCAGAAACCCATTAGGAAGGAGGAGGAAATGAAACTGCTCTTCTTGGTTGTAGCGAGGCACTGTTGGGCTGTGTGTTGACCTGTGTTCTCCAGAAGAAGCCCTTCTCTAGGGGAATGCTTGACATGCCTTGGAATTGGAAGAGCTTATTTCTCACTCTCTACAGCTGGCAGTGTTCAGTTAAGGAATCATTTATGGACAAGTTTGGTTTATGGTTTGCATCATAATATATTCTTGTTGCCATAAGAGGGAGTTGAGTTTATTAATTTATTATTCAAGCTGGTGTTTACCTGCATTGGCACTTTGAGGGTTTCTTCAAGGTATATTGATGCTGGGAGTTGAAATAAGAGATATGTAAGTTATAATCATACCTTACTGTTACTTTTTTTTTTTTCCCCTCTAATTAAGGACTGAATTCTGCACAGCATTTCAGCTCACGCTTGAAATGTGCTGACCTGTGAAGTATCTCCCCCGCCTCATTTTTTTCCCAATCTGACTGCTCATGTTCTTTGGTAACTATTAGTTTTGATGACTTGTACTACTTGGGAATAGCATTTTGTGTTCAGGATAAATGCGTAAGATAGCAGAGCTTTAGCCCAAAACCTGAATCCCAGTCACGTCAACCTTGCCTTGCCAGTAAAGAGGCTTTGCTTTTTCAGGGATAGGCTGCCGTTCTTGTAGCCAGACAGTAAAGTGTTACTGGCAAAGTGACACAAGTTGAAATATTAAAGACGTAGTGACTCTCCTTTCTCTATACTTTCCAACCCTCCTTCTCCTCCTACCGCACCCCGCCTGATCTAAGGAAAGAAGGCAGATAACATCTGTTTAATCTTTTCTGTAATTTTGAAATTTTATTGGGCAAACAGTTTATTTGTAGTTTTAAGCACAGAGATAGAAATGTATGATAATTTGATAAATAGCAACCGGGAGTTATTGGAAGCTTAATTGCTATATAGATATCTCTCTCTTGATTCCCATCATGTCTTTTTGTGCTTTTGATATATAGAAATAGTGAAAACCTAAAGATCATAATGTCCTAAA